AAAACAAAAGAGAGCGATGTTAAAGAAGATTAAATTTGCTGTAACTTTCATGAATATATGTTTTCTGTGCAAGTTATATTTTCAGATTTCTGCGGCATGTTGTTAACATCTCGTTTTGCCAAAATCGGTTTACTGTTTTTTCAACAATATTTATATTCCTAACCCTCAGAGAACAAAAATAAAAGAGAGCGAAATTGGAGAGGATTAAATTTACGATAACTTTTATTATTGCATATTTTATGTACGACTTATATTTTCCGATTTATAAGGGATAATCGACTTAAATCGAAAATAATATATTTATGTTTTAAGTACGAATTAGATATTTTTACAACTTGTACAACTATAAAAGTTTCGAATCGTGTTTGGAGGTCCGCATTTATCACTCTTAGCGGACCGGAAGTTTTTTATTGCGTCCCGGAGAAGGAAACTTTTTGATAAGGGTTTTCGCAAAACTACAGCTATTTTTCAAGTGGAATATTATAAAGAATCGTAAAAGAACAATTATTATTCGTTATAGTACTCAGTTAAAAATCTAAAAAAAAAATTAAAGTTATTTTATCGAGTGGAGACAAATCTTACCAACCAAAACTCACCCCCCTTTAAAATTTATTTAGAACGCAATTGAAGAAACCCCCGACTTCCTTCACCCACCGTTTCCCTCAGCCTTTAACTCGTAATGCCCGCGAATAAAAATTTCATAGCTCAGCTTCCGACTTCACAGACATCTCTAGTCTTGGAGAAATCGAGAAATAAAAGCACCCTCACCTTCCATTCCGAGTGTCTAGAAGCATTAATGGTTTCTCGTCTTCTCTTTCCTAAAACTATACCATTTCGTGAAATTTTCAGATTTAAGCGCATTTATTTTCTTTTCTTGAATTTCTGTTTTGTATAATTATAATATGAAAGGAGGAATGTTTTAGAATGTCATAGACGGGGTGCGTTTGAATATCTTTGGAAAACCAGCGATGCTTGTGGAACATCAAACGATTTGTGGCGGACGCAACTCACGCTTAATACTATTATAACTATATATACGCGTTTTCCGAGAGTACTAGGAGCAGTTGGTTTTACAAAAGAGTTCTAAAGCAAAAACGTGGAGCCGGAGTTTGCCGTTTCTAAACTCTGCTAAATTATTCAACGGAACAAGGAGACAACAAGTGCGGGTCTTTAAATCCCGGGGTGACTTTTATGGTCGTGGTGAATTGTGCTGTACACGGAATAAATGAATAGTTTTCAGGAATAATGTATTATGTATGTTAGGGAAGTGGTTACAAAGAAGGTTTTTTTATTTTTAGTTGCCCTAAATTTTTATTAAAATTTAATTCAGATAAAAAGATTTTGTAATAAATTTTATAAAAATCTTTCGTTAAATTTCGATGTGAAGGAGTGGGTGTGTTTTAGATTTCGCTGGAGTCCGAGTTGGGGTTTGGTATTAGCACTGCTTAATTAAAAGTAAACAGCAAAGTGCTGCAAACTATTCAGCATCGTTTCCGGTGTAGAGAGAAGAGCCCGACGCGGAAAAATCAATTGGTCCCACGGAAAAGGGAAATATCAGGGCTGGGAAAACAGTTTCCGGATGGGACAAAGAGCTAAAATCCCGCTGTGCGGTTGCCCAGAAGGCAAAAATAACGCCAAGTCGCTCTTGGGCGGGCACCCTCTAATAGGATTTCATATCCTTGCATTGGGAGCACCCTTTTTGAAAGCGCGCATAAGGACCCCTGAAAGGCGCGCACTTTCCTTTTGAATCGCAATCGGTTTCCTCCACTACATACAAATAAGCATTTTTCTTTTCCTCCTTACATACATTTTCCTTTTTTATAAAATAACAAAAATTGAGCACATCACGAGTTTCATCATGAATTCAAGTTGCAAAACCGTGAAATCCCGCGATACAAATTCGATTAAATGAGAGTATTAAAACGGCCCGGAATAAAACAAACAGCGGCTAATTGCGGCTGAGGAGTTCCGCGCGTTGCCCGGAACGAAACGTTGATTAATATCAACTTAGGGTGGCGGTCGCACTTCCGGCGGGGCCCACAAATCGAGTTAAACCGTTGCTGATTAGTATAGCGTCTCTCTGACGAAGAAACCAGAACTTGCGTTTACAAACTTAACAGCATACCAAGACAACAAGACAAGAATTGTGAATACAAAACATTTGTGAATTATTTTAATGAGATTTAAAGAAATTAAAAGTTTAAAAATTGATTTTTAAAACAAATCGCGATAAGAAATTGCTTTAATTTGATACCAAACACAATATCTATGTTCCTAAGCTTCACAGAGCAAAAACAAAAGAGAGCGATGTTAAAGAAGATTAAATTTGCTACAACTTTTATTAATACATGTTTTCTGTGCGAGTTGTATTTTCCGATTTTTGTGGCATGTTCTTAACATCTCGTTCTTCCAAAATCAGATTAGTACTTTTTGCACAATATCTATGTTCCTAAGCCTCGCAGAGCAAAAACAAAAGAGAGCGATGTTAAAGAAGATTAAATTTGCTACAACTTTTATTATAAGATCTTTTCTGTGCGAGTTATATTTTCCAATTTCTGTGGCATGTTCTTAACATCTCGTTCTGCCAAAATCGGCTTAGTACTTTTTACACAATATCTATGTTCCTAAGCCTCGCAGAGCAAAAACAAAAGAGAGCGATGTTAAAGAAGATTAAATTTGCTACAACTTTTATTAATACATGTTTTCTGTGCGAGTTGTATTTTCCGATTTCTGTGGCATGTTCTTAACATCTCGTTCTTCCAAAATCAGATTAGTACTTTTTCCACAATATCTATGTTCCGAATCTTCGCAGAGCTTAAAGGGAGGACAGCAAAGTTGTAGAGGTTCAAGTTTACTACAACTTTTATTATAAGATGTTTTCTGTGCGAGTTATATTTTCCAATTTCTGTGGCATCTTCTTAACATCTCGTTCTGCCAAAATCGGCTTAGTACTTTTTGCATAATATCTATGTTCCTAAGCCTCGCAGAGCAAAAGCAAAAGAGAGCGATGTTAAAGAAGATTAAATTTGCTACAACTTTTATTAATACATGTTTTCTGTGCGAGTTATATTTTCCGATTTCTGTGGCATATTGTTAACATTTCGTGCTGCCAAAATCGGCTCGTAAGCCTAGTAGAGCAAAAACACAAGACAGCGATGTTAAAGAAGATTAAATTTGCTATAATTTAGAGAGCGATGAAAAATTAAAAAATCAATTTTTAAAACAAATCATCGACAAAAATTGATGGAGAAAATTGGCGGAGGCGCCGGTATTGTTATTTTTCAACATTTTTTTTTTAATTCGAAATAGAAATCGGATTCAAAATACAAAAGAGGCAGAGAAAAAATAGCAAGGGTGATAAAATTCGCAGGTCAACAGGATCGAAAATCGTAATTTAAAGCTGCCCCGTTTTCGGAGAGGTAAAAAGGGGGCAGGGGGTACGTTGTTTGCGCGCCGGATTTGCTACGCGGGAAAATTGCTCGCGAATCCGTGAAATAGGTGCGAATAAATCAATCGAAAGCTGGCCGGCTTGCAAAAAGTGCGTGTGGCCGCTGCCAGTCGGAAATCGGACGCCGATATCTCGGCAATTTAGTAATGAAACGGCCCACCCTTTTTTTTCAGCAGCTTTTATATCCCCCGTTAATGGACATTAAAGCTCCACAAACATCAACAACATAAAAGATTCTTCTCAAAAGACATCAAAATTTATTATAATCAAAAACTGTTTGAAATTTAATGATTTAAGGAAAGTAAATTATTTTCGTATGAAAGTTTTTATTCCGTATTCCATTTTAATAGTGAACGTAAAATAGGTGTTTATTAAAATTGAAAATAAGGGGTGGACCACCCGCTTCGTTCAGTATTAATAAGAACCCTGTAGCTTCCGTATAATGAAATTAGAATGCCCCGGGTAGGTATATGTAAACCGATTTACGGGAAAGAGAAGGCGTGTCGGTAGGTGGGATTTCATTAAGGAACATAATCGTTAAACTAAATCAACGTTTCTCATAGCATCACTAAAAATCGTGCCCCAGAATAGTTTCCGACAGCGAACCAAAATTTATAATTTATAATTCGAAACAGATGAATATTTAAGTTTGGGATTATCATAGAACAACGGTCGGCACTCGGATTTCGAAATTCGTTTAAATTCGCTCTTCGTTACACACACATCTCACATTCGTTTCGTTTTGGTTCGTTTTTATGAATAAACTTGGCGACATAATTCACGTTATGCAGAATAATATGCAGAATAAACGGGTTTTGGTCGGCGCTGCGGTGACCCCGACCCGTTGGGACACCGTTTGGAATGAAAAGAAATGACCAAACTTTCTCGCATATATCCGGCGTGAGTGTAATAAAATTAAGTCCGTTCCCGTGTTGCGGGTAATTAAGCGACGTCGTTTCATTGAATCACATCACCAAGACTTGGCAACGTGTAATGAAGCCGGATAAACTAAGATCACACGGCTATAATCGTTGGTATCAAGCTTTACACAAAACTCGTTATGGGATCCCGAAAGAGCTTTTTTCGAGCAATAATTGTGGTACATTTATAATAATAAAGGATGCTCATTCAACTTTTGTTAGCTCTACATTGCGTTTTTCTACTTTTTCTTTGTTAATTTTGACATTTCATTTTATAATTTTTTTCTATTAGGTACTTTATTAAAAGCTATATTGTGTTCTTACTTGATATAATAAAATCGTCGAAATGTCACCAAATATATTCACATTTTCTTTTTGGAATATTTTCGGAGATACTTCTTTTTGTTAGACCAAATCGAGTTGAATGATGTTGCTAAATTGTCATCTTTCATACTAAAACAATAAAAATTGTCTTATTAATTAGTTCTCACTCATTTACTTTTAATACTACCTTTTTTTTTCTATAAAGCCTTTTTCTTAAATGAATTCGGTCTTTAAGCGGCAATTTTATTAGATTTATGAATATAAATATAATAATAATATTAATAATATATAATAATATTATTTAATTGAATTACCCAGGTGAAAAGAAAACAAAAATGAATATTAATACAATGGTTAGTACGACCAACAACATCATAGAGTACCGAAGAACTAAACTAAAATTAAAACAACAACTCCAACACATACTATTCCTACGAACATGTTTAGAAGAAGAACTGAAACCAAAATTTGCTAGACATAAATTTCCAAAACATCTAAAAACAGATTTGATTCAGAAAATCATGACAAAAGATATAAAAACAGAAATAAAAAAACATTATTCTATAATTAACGACATCAATATCCAACTATACTATACATACCAAGAATTAACTATCACTTTACACTTCGAAGAAATAGAAGAAATAATGGTAAACATAGAACAAACACAGAAGGAGAAGTTGTTCCGAGAATGGGAAAAGAAAGACAAAAAATTGAAACAACTTCGAGAAGAACAAAGAATGGAGAAGAATAGGAATACGACATCAACAAGAGAGAATTTAACAACACATAAATTTCATAAAAGAGTTACAAATATGTCAAAGACACCGTTTAATCAAAACGAAATGAATTTACTAGAAAAAGGACTGAAATATTCCATATATAAAACAACCAACCTCAGAAAAACAGCATTAGAACTAGAAGCAGCTACGAGAGGACTGCCAAAAGAAGAAGAAATACACAAAACCTTACAACAAATACTAATGAAAGAAGAAACTAAAATAACAAAAAGGAAGAAAAAGAACAACGAAAAAACAGAAAAGAAAAGGAAAAATGAAGAAAAGACATTGAAAACCATCAAAGAGAAAATAGAAAAAAATGATTTAATCTTTACTAAGGGCGATAAAAGTGCAGGTTTAGTCATTTTGGATAAGATAAATTATATAGAAAAAACCGAAAAATTCCTTAACGATAACAATTTCATAAAAACCCTAAAAAATCCTACTAACTCCTTCCATGAAAAAGTCAAGAAAATAATAAACAATAGTAAAACTACTTTAACGAAATATGGCAGAAATGTAAGATCAATCATCCCAATGAACCCGAAAATACCTAGATTGTATGCATTGCCTAAGCTGCATAAACAGAACATGCCCATAAGACCAATAATAACCAGCATCGACTCAAGTACTTACAAAATATCAAAATTTCTAATAGACATTTTCAAAACAAATATTAACTTCCAACCAACACACACTATTCGGAATAGATCAGAAATAATAACAGAACTGAGCACAATGTCACTGCCAAAAGATTTTACTATTCTATCCTTCGACATCGTCAACCTGTATACCAACATCCCCACCAGACAAACATTGAACATTATTAAAGACATTCTATCACATAACATAACAGACCTAAATGATCGTAATAACATTTTCAACCTATTCGAGATCAGTTTACAACAAAATTTCTGCAAATTCAATAATAATATATATTCATACGAAGAGGGTTTACCAATGGGGTCTCCTTTGAGCAGTTTGATCTCTGACATATTTCTAAATGAGATGGAAACTAAACTTATAATTAATAAAGATAATAATCCATATTTTGAAAACATAAAATTTTGGAAAAGGTATGTAGATGACATACTAGTCATTGTTAATACTAAAGACAACAACACTATAAACAAGATTCATAAATATATTAACTCAATACACAGCAAGATACAATTTACGATAGAACAAGAGAAAAATAACGAAATAAACTACCTAGACATAAACATAAAAAGAACACAGGATAACGGTTTTATATTTAACACATACAGAAAACCAACACAGACAGATGCAGTCATACCCTACGACTCATATCACTGTAACGCACATAAACTAGCTGCTTTTAGATCACACATACATAGAGCATACAATTCAAAAATGAACACAGAAAACCTTACCACCGAAATAAATACAATCTACCAAGTTGCGAAAAATAATAACTTCCCAACTTACATAATAAATAATATTATAAACAAACAACAGAAAAAACAAAAAATGATTAATTGTACCACTCTAAAGAATCAACACAATGAAGATCAAAGTATTTATTATAGAGCTATAACATTCCAAGGCAACATATCCAATAAAATAAAACAGAGTTTAAAACAATATAATATAAATCTTAATTTCAAACCAAATAAAACATTAGAAAGAATGCTTATAAACAATAAGGACAAAATAAATAAACTGGACGACAATGGTGTGTACATACTAGAGTGCGACACTTGTAAAGCAGCGTACATTGGAGAAACAGGCAGAAGCCTTAGAAAAAGAATAAGAGAACATAAACACAAAAATAACTCCAACTTCGGAAATCACTTAACATTTAACTCAAAACATGAATTTAACGAAGATAAAAATTCCAGAATCCTTCATCATATCAATAAAAGTTACTATTTAGAAATAATGGAAAACTATGAAATTAATAAATTCCTCAACAACTGCCCTGATGTAACATGCCTAAACGAACAAATTATACCTACAAGAAGACCACTATATACCTATCTCAAACAACCATACACACCTCCACGAAAACCTCCCGAACTCTAAAAATAGCTGCTCTCTCTGTACCATTATATTTTTCAGTGTGTTTGATGTAGGGAGTTAATATGTTTATGTTGTAATACCTCATTTTAACCTGTTGAAAATCAACCTATTCAAAACAAGAAAGTTTAAATTCAATACACGACAATCACATTTGACAGATTACCAACATTAAAATAGAAAATATACCATTGACAGTTTCAACATAACCTAAAATATAATAAAAAGTGATGTATGATAGCACATGTTTAGAGATTAACATTTTAATAGTGAATTAATTCAATAAAGTATCACATACATGTTTAGTTGTTCAAAAAATTGACGTAAGTTAAAATGTAAAATTATATAATAATAGAAAGTGTTGTAAAATTAATAACTTTAGGAACTCCTGAAGATGCTCCGAAAAGAGCGAAACCGGTAGAGTGATAATAAACACATTTCACCTTTAAGTGCAAAATTTATTTAATTGAATTACCCAGGTGAAAAGAAAACAAAAATGAATATTATGAATATAACACTATTTAGTTTCAGAGACGCTTCTATCAAAATAATTTATTTCAATTGTATGCATGTTTTTGAAATTAAAATCGGATTATTTCCATTTTCTACGGAATCACTTTGACATCTGCTTCCATATTCAATTTTTGTCTTCAATTCCACAAAATTTCTTTTAATTCATCCTTTTTGATATATTTTCTATCAACATGTGGTCATAAAATATCACTTTTAGTTGTCTCGTGCTAGTTTCATGTGTTCGAAAAAACTCTACGACTCTTACTAAATCCAATGTGGTAACATTCTTTATTCTTAATATTATTCTATGTTTGATTAATGTGTTTCAAAGTTATAGTATTGTGCTAGTTTTCTTAAATCGGTAAAATATCGGTCAAAAATTTTTTCATGATTCTGATTGGTAAAATTTAAATCGATTAAACACTATAGTTCATTTTCTTTCTATAATACGTGCCAAATTGTTGTAAAGTTGGCAAAATTAACAGGGAGTTTTGTTTTATCAAGTTTTGAAATAAATATGTCACACTGACGTTTCAGCTTTCGTTATTCAAAAAGAAAAGGTGCATAAAAAGTGTGAAGTGTTTATTTGCCATTTATTTACCTAGAAAAGGTGTTTTGTTCTATTTAATTACCTTGTAGCACGTTTTTACAACAAATATGTACTTCGTTAAAATTGTATTTATCTAAAAATTTATTAGTATTTTAACCTCAACTATTTAGTTACTGAAAATGTTACTAAAAATCAGGAAAACAACATAAATTTTATAAGGGTCCTAGATAATACCAACAGAAACCCTAAATAATTTACATNAAAGAATAAGAGAACATAAACACAAAAATAACTCCAACTTCGGAAATCACTTAACATTTAACTCAAAACATGAATTTAACGAAGATAAAAATTCCAGAATCCTTCATCATATCAATAAAAGTTACTATTTAGAAATAATGGAAAACTATGAAATTAATAAATTCCTCAACAACTGCCCTGATGTAACATGCCTAAACGAACAAGATACAATTTACGATAGAACAAGAGAAAAATAACGAAATAAACTACCTAGACATAAACATAAAAAGAACACAGGATAACGGTTTTATATTTAACACATACAGAAAACCAACACAGACAGATGCAGTCATACCCTACGACTCATATCACTGTAACGCACATAAACTAGCTGCTTTTAGATCACACATACATAGAGCATACAATTCAAAAATGAACACAGAAAACCTTACCACCGAAATAAATACAATCTACCAAGTTGCGAAAAATAATAACTTCCCAACTTACATAATAAATAATATTATAAACAAACAACAGAAAAAACAAAAAATGATTAATTGTACCACTCTAAAGAATCAACACAATGAAGATCAAAGTATTTATTATAGAGCTATAACATTCCAAGGCAACATATCCAATAAAATAAAACAGAGTTTAAAACAATATAATATAAATCTTAATTTCAAACCAAATAAAACATTAGAAAGAATGCTTATAAACAATAAGGACAAAATAAATAAACTGGACGACAATGGTGTGTACATACTAGAGTGCGACACTTGTAAAACAGCGTACATTGGAGAAACAGGCAGAAGCCTTAGAAAAAGTATAAGAGAACATAAACACAAAAATAACTCCAACTTCGGAAATCACTTAACATTTAACTCAAAACATGAATTTAACGAAGATAAAAATTCCAGAATACTTCATCATATCAATAAAAGTTACTATTTAGAAATAATGGAAAACTATGAAATTAATAAATTCCTCAACAACTGCCCTGATGTAACATGCCTAAACGAACAAATTATACCTACAAGAAGACCACTATATACCTATCTCAAACAACCATACACACCTCCACNCAAGTATTATAGAAAAAAAACGAACTATATATTCCTTCTTAAGTTGCTTTTTTAGATGCCTATAAATATATTTTAAATTATTGTTTAAGTATTTTTTTTATCACTGGTTTGAACCAATCTATTTTCTTCTTCGTGTTTCAACTTATTCTTTTACACCTAACACTATGTGGTGTATTTATAATAATAAAAGATATTTATATTCATTAAATCTATTAAATGAAATATCAATTATGTATCAGGAGAGTATTAAAGAATATGCTTTGTTGGAGGATTCTTAGTTTTGCAGTATTAAACAATTATTTGAAATATAAAAATAGTTGGACGGATTTCAACAGTAGTGTAAGGTAANATTACCTTGTAGCACGTTTTTACAACAAATATGTACTTCGTTAAAATTGTATTTATCTAAAAATTTATTAGTATTTTAACCTCAACTATTTAGTTACTGGAAATGTTACTAAAAATCAGGAAAACAACATAAATTTTATAAGATGATAATACCAACAGAAACCCTAAAAAATTTACATTGACAAGTGAGTGGTGTAGATGCAAAACTCACATTCTCCATTTTCTTAAGATATGGAGTTAAATATATCACCGTGTTTGTCTTGTTAAAGCGAATCAAATTCTGATAGCAGTTTACAGCAAAACTTACAGTTTAAAACTATAGTGAAAATCGCGTTTTGAAACAAAAGTCACATTATCCAACAGTTGTTCTGCTACAAAATTCACATTCTCCATTCCAACCAGTCACAGACCGTGTAGCAAAAACAAGTAGGCGTCTTTGCACTCTGTTTATGTTTTCGTCGACCTCACAATTTAAATTAACCTGTTGCATTATTATTACACAAAGTTATATAGTGCATAATGAATCAACTAGTGCAACCATCAACCGGATTAACAAGAAAAAAGAAAAAGGCTCCTGAGAAATGGAAGCGAAACGAAACCAAATTAGCAAGGTTAGCATTATAATCCAAGGCTAGTTCTATGTTTTATACTCGGCTCTTTCTTTCTTTTTTAGGTACTTAGCAAACAGTTTACCAGCATTTCCATCTTGCAACCACAACGGCGGAAAATTTCAGTGCTTAACAGTGTCCCTACAAGATATAAGGAGATTTCATCAGAACTTCTACTTCCAAAAAGAAAAGATTTGCCAAGACAACTTTATTTTAAAGTTTACTTCATCAGTTGAAATTAAGAGAAGGAGACGCTACAAAAAGCAGTCCTTAAGAACCAAATACTTTATAGGCTCTAAAAACAAATCAATGATACCAGTATGTCTTAATACATTCTTAGGTGTTCTAAAAGTTTCAAGATTTCGAGTGAATGGTATTTTAAATCGTTTTAGACAAACATTTACTACTCCAACATTGAGGACAGACAGAAGCTTATGGTTGAAAAACGTATTCATAAATTGCGTGCTAAAGCTTTTTATGCAGCATTAAACAACACCGACCCTAATGTTTTTATGTTAAGCTACGACTGTCAAAAGAACTTACCATTACCAAAATTGCCTGACCAAGCCACGTACTACAGTAGGCAAATATATTTAAACAACTTTACTATAGTTAAGGGAAATTCGAAAAGTAGACTCAATCCAGAAAATGTGACAGCTTACATTTGGACAGAAAACGAGTTTAAAAAAGGATCCAACAAAATTGCTTCGAGTGTTTTTAATACACTGTTTACAACCGAAATGGAAGTGCCCATTGATACAGTTCGATTAGTGTGTGATGGATGTGGGGGTCAAAATAAAAACTCGATAGTTCTAGCCATGCTTTGTTTCTGGCATTCCAAACATGCACCAAAAAATATCAAAAAAGTGGAGCTCTTTTTCCCTGTAACAGGCCACAGCTTCCTTCCCCCAGACCGAGTATTTGGAATCACCGAAAAGGCTACAAGGAAAAAAGAAGTGATTTACAAACCATCAGAATACATTGATATTATTAGTAAGCAATCCAAGGTAGTAAATGTTGGTGTTGATTGTCAGGTTTTTGATTGGAAAAAAGAAAAAGAAACTTTTATGATCAAACCTGCTAAATTTCATTTTAAACTAGGAGCCTGCAAAAGAATAATTTTGACAAAAACCAATCAAAAGAACGTACTCGTTAGAGGAGAGTACACATACAAATCCGACCTTGGAGTGCCTAAATCTATAGCAAAGCCTGGTAAACAGTATTTAAATATGAAACCAACTATTATCCCTAGGTCAAACGCAATAAAGCAATCCAAAAAAGTTGACGTCAACAACTTATTAAAGAAACATTATGGGGATCAGTGGAGAGAGATTGAAGATTTGGTATTTTATAAAAATATTATTGATGGCGCTGAAGACAATGAAGAAGATGAGCCAACATGTGAGCCGACAGAAGAAGTCAATATCTTTAATATCTAAAAATATTAACTTACCTCTACTTCCAAATTATATTTTGCAATAAAGTTAGTTCATTATAGCTAATGCATTTACTTCCTTTGTTACCAGTTGATTCCAAGATGTGATACTGTTTTGCTTCAAAACTAACATTATCCATGTGAATTTGTTACAAAACCCACATTTGACCATATTTTGGCTCAAAACTCACATTTTACCAGTTTGAAAATAAAATTACAAAAAAACCTCTTCAACTAAAAGGTTTGCAGTGCAAGTAAACAGTTTATTTGGTTACAAAATTTAAATTAAAAAAAAATTGCAGTAATACTACTTGAACTTCAATACGTCCTAGTTTTTTACGTTTTTCCGAAAATTTGGAAAAGTAGAGAATGTGAAATTTGCATCTACACCACTCAAGTATTATAGAAAAAAAACGAACTATATATTCCTTCTTAAGTTGCTTTTTTAGATGCCTATAAATATATTTTAAATTATTGTTTAAGTATTTTTTTTATCACTGGTTTGAACCAATCTATTTTCTTCTTCGTGTTTCAACTTATTCTTTTACACCTAACACTATGTGGTGTATTTATAATAATAAAAGATATTTATATTCATTAAATCTATTAAATGAAATATCAATTATGTATCAGGAGAATATTAAAGAATATGCTTTGTTGGAGGATTCTT